GTCGGAGCTGTCTGCGACGCGCTGATGAGATCCAAAAAGATCGAAATCGCGATCCGCGTCTGGCAGTTTCGACAGAATACAGAATTCGAATTATTTTATTAGGCAACATTAGTTCCTCTCACATGTTTTTATCGCACTGCGCTATTCAACATACACCTATGTTGTCAATTCACGCACAGGACCGGCTTGGGATACTAAATATAAATAATATAATTAAATAATTTTATTGTAGGAAATGGAGAAACAATTTGTATCAGCTATATTTAAGTTTATTATATTATTTGTCGAGTCAGATTAGAGCAGCTGAAACCCTACATACTCGAAAATAAGCCACTGTCTTGTAAATTATATCATACTACCCTTTCTAATTTTAACTTGATAAATCAGTCCAACTAAAACTAATACACTGATCTTTAATTATCACAATTAATTTTTTAAATAACAGTCATATATTTTGCTAACTCTGAACGTGATGACTACCATCCCGAGACTGGAATTTAAGTTTTAACTTACTTTACGGAGAAAACTAAATTTTTTTAACAACGCAAAAATTACAATTTTCGATTGTAAATGACTAAATTTGACGTAAAAGTAGTAAAAATTATTAAAGTTTCTTAATTATTACATTTAAATTTGTAATATCAACTAAAATACCTAGTAAATTTATTTCTGCTGGAATTTATTTTTTCAAATTCAGGTCCCAATTGTAATTTTTATTACAACGGGCTAGAGGAATAAATTGTAAATATTGCTTTAATATTTAGGTAAATTTTCCTTTTTCATTTTCTCCGTGTAAATTTTAATTCCAACAAACGCTTTTCCACTACAAAACTATTAAACAAGTGACTGTAACAAATCACAACAAATTTTAGTGTTTTAACAATTCCCTAGGGAAATTATAAGTATGTATAAATACCTATAACTTACAATAAATTATAAAGTCAACTAAATGTCTAGAATTGAGGAAATCAAAGCAGTAGCGTCATGATATTTTGTATAAGAGCGGTAGGTAATTGTGAACAGAAGAAATTTTTTACACTAGACTTTGTCCTAGTTAATAAGAAAACATTCGACCGTTTTATTATTTGATTGAAAATCTAAGCTAAATACTCCGCGGGGCTAAGTACCTAGTAAATTTTTTATCGAAAACGAGAGCAGCAAAATAATGTAACTTGTTTCGTCTGCTTTATCCCGTCATTCTTGTTCGTTATCGAGAAAATTTCTTTCTCAAGGAATTTTTTGTCATAAGAAATTAACAGCGTTGCTTCAGGAAATTTCTTCCGTTTACACTATGAATTCATGGCATGTTTACTCGTAACTGCGCTCTCAAGAAGCCAAAGGAAGTTAATTACAGTGCCGACAAAGTGTAGACTATAAAGAGGGGCATTTGGGCCCCGGGCAAGTAGATAAAATGCTGTGAATGTCTGGACTATATATTGCGAATTATCCATGGCCTCCAAAATTATCCAGAGGAAAACGTAACTGTTTATCCATGGATTTCATTATGTCTTCATCAAACATTTGATTTTCCTTTAATGTCTCTCCAACATACCTCATTTACATAGAGTGGTCCATAAATAAAACTTCATATAAGATCACAACTTCTGACATATTACGTACTCTTGGCAGTATACAGGGTGTAGGCGCCGAGGTGACATAAAGATAAATCACTTACAAAACACAATTACGTAGATGTTTGCATGTCCGAAAGTTCACCGTTTTCGAGAAAAACGTAGTTGAAAGTACAGACAAATTCAATTACGGTCCTGGTAAAGAAATACGCTGCACTCAATCAGCTCATGATTACCAGCATCACTGTAGTATTTGTTTTATATTTTTTACATAAACATTGTTTATTTCTTAGATTAGATTAAATGTGATTCATGTTAACAGCCAACCTCTAGTAGCCGCTTATTCTTTTAACGTTTAAATCTTGCATGAGACAATCGATGTACAGTTCAATAAACTAATTCAATAATACAACATCAATTGTTAGTGTAGGTCAATCACAGCAGAATAATAATGTGACATGATACGTATTTACCGGTTTAAATTATATCGATGCTGCAGGGACTAAATCCTCTATTTCAAAAAAGAAAACCCCTAAAATATTAACACGAAATAGTAGGCAATGTTAGAAATTACGACAAATGGCGCTGTAAACGCCATCTGTAGTACAGTGCTATATTTTAGGATTACGTATACTTCAGCAAGGTCCATTTAAATATATGGATATCTACTTGCTGAAACGAATCCCGGCGTGGCTCACCTCAACGTGGTAGGCACGTTACCATAATCGAATAAAATAATTCGAAGTGGTCTGTATTCTGTCGAAACTGCCAGACGCGGATCGCGATTTCGATCTTTTTGGATCTCATCAGCGCATCGCAGGCAGCTCCGACAGAACACAGACCAACTTTTACCTGCTGCCTTAACAGCGCGTTTTAGAAAATACGACAAATGGCAAGTAGATATCCATATATTTAAATGGATCTTGATGAAGCATACGTAATCCTAAAATGTAGCACTGTACTACAGATGGCGTTTACAGCGCCATTTGTAGTATTTTCTAAAACGCGCTGTTAAGGCAGCAGGTAAAAGTTGTTCTGTGTTCTGTCGGAGCTGCCTGCGACGCGCTGATGAGATCCAAAAAGATCGAAATCGCGATCCGCGTCTGGCAGTTTCGACAGAATACAGAATTCGAATTATTTTATTAGGCAACATTAGTTCCTCTCACATGTTTTTATCGCACTGCGCTATTCAACATACACCTATGTTGTCAATTCACGCACAGGACCGGCTTGGGATACTAAATTGTTGTGATTTTGTTAAAAAAACTGTTTTACCCTTAACCACGCTGCTAAACCGATCGTGCGATTGTTTGTGGCAGCTAGTTTATACCCTCCGAAGATCGGCATTTATTTCTGTTACACCCTGTATAAATAAAACAATTTAGGGTGTTTAATGTGAAACCTACATAGGTTTTACAAAGAGCTATCTACTTTGATAACCAGTAGTGGTGGGAAGTGGATAACTGGGATGGGAGGGCGAAGAAGATGTCCAGCAAAAATTCAAATCTCCCCAAAGCAGAGAGAGGAATTCAAATTAAAAGAAAACCACCTCACGTAATTAATAAACATCACTTAAATGACATCGGACGAAATGGAGAACATTTTTAACATTTGCTCCCGCTACGGGTCGCTATTGCTATGATCCTAAGGTTTATCTTGACAATCAACAGGATAGCATAATGTAAATCTTGTAACTGCAAAAGGGACAGACTAACTAAATTTCCGAGTTTTATAAAATTTAATAAAAATGACAAAGTGTACAGTGTCGGAACGTAAAGAAAATGGATACTATTTCTCCCAAATAATAGAAAATACAAGAAATTGTGGGCTGAAGCAAGAAGACGATCAAAATTAGCCAAATTGTAACCATAACCATTTTACGGAAAATAAATATCTTTTTTTTAAGTTTATATCAAATAAGTTTATGGAGTACTACTGTTTAGGTCTTTATAACACTCGTCGTGTGGTATAATCACAACTTCTTCTTGCTCTGATTCTGGGGAATGCAATTTACAAGATCTATTTTTCTATCACTACATGACGTGTGCATCTCCTTTTCAATTCTAACATAAGCCGGTCTTATTTTTATGTGCAATGCATTGCAAGTACTAAGTGGATTCCTCAATTAAAATAAATTACTTAAGCGGCTTATTAACCTCAAACGAAATTTAAGTGTAAACAGATCATACGTGTGACGCACTCTATTTTTACAATCTTCCCCATTCGAGCCTTGCACGGACGTGAATTGAAACGGAGTTATCTACACCTCATTGTTCTCAATTGAATAAAGTAAAACTATCCGTAGAAAATATTTCTACCAAATGTAATCTAATAGTAATTTTAAAATATCAAAAACGCAACAAAAAATGACACTAACAGGATAAATATTAAAATTCCAATAAACCTGAATTGTTATGAAGTACCAAGTTTCCTTAACGTAGGAAAAAGCGGTATTTTATTTTTACCGTAGGTATATGTGTATATCTATCTAACTGCCATACATCGCGCGTTAAAAAGGAAATGTTTTGGAGACGTAGAATAGATAAAGAAAAATGTGATGAGCGTTGTGAATAGAATTCCTTGGGAAGACATTCAAAGGTCCTTTGAGAGTCTGTATAAACGTTGCAAGCGACGCGTGTAAAGCGAAGGAATATACGTAGAAAAATATAACAATAAAAACATTACCTACTATACGTTGCTTTACTATTTTGAATGCACGATGAGCTTATAAAGAGAGCGTATAGAAAAGCCATTTTAGTAAATTCTAGGGAGTTTTGTTTAAAAAACATTAAAAGCATTGCAATACTGTACTACAAGGCAGGATGATTGTGAGAATGCGCTATAAAACTTATTCTATATTTTTTTGCTAATAATTTACTACTTTTACTACTTAGCCGGTTCCATTTGCATTACCCTAAGGATAATTGGGAGGTACAATCGGAGACAAGAGTACATAAAATTAGAAATTCGTGATTAATTAGGTTTTGCAGCATATCATGAGGTAAATAAATACTATCTATACTAAAGAAAAAGTATACGGTTTGAGAGAAAATTTGGAATTTGACCAAAAACTTTGAATAAAATAAGAAATAACGAATAATATGGAAAATTTTTAACTGACTTTTGGCAGTGAATATGCCTTAATTTCAACTTCGAAACAAAAAAATATTTAGTTTCAATCTCTATTAATAATGAGCGTAAAACTTTTTAATATGTTTAAATAATAATTAAAACTTTAAAATTGCATTTATTTCAGACAATTATAAATATTATCATTATATTATCAAGTAAAAACGAGATTTTCAGCTAATTTTTCATTTTTTTCTCGATAACCATTTAGTGAATTTGAATAACCTTACGCTAAAGTGATTCTCCAGAGTTCAAGTTACTTATTATAAAAGTTTGAAATTTCTGGTAGCTTTTTTTCTGTTAATAAAAATAAATTTAATCTGTTCGGTTAACGAATCTCCATAAAATGACGTGTAAAATTACAATTTTTTAAAATTTCAATAACTTTTTAACGGTTTAGTGAATCGATTTGTAATTTTTACAGGAGTTTTAGAATTGAATGAGGAACGTTCTTCCAAATTTTTATTTGTCTCATAGCATTTTGACATACCTCCCAACATCCTTAATAAGACTACAGTTAGCGTAGCTATAGTAATTTCTCGAAATTGTAAATAGGAATATGATTTCAACAGGTGAAGCCGTTTAGAAGCTGCACAATCATAACAGACGCACTCAAATTCTTATGTATGTAACTGTAAAAGCCCGTACTACAGCAAACTTTTACCAAATAATACAGACAGGTCTGTATTCTTTGCTTTTACCATCATCCACTCGGAAAATTGTAGGTTTTACCGCAGACACGGTAAATATCGAAAAATAGACACAATAAACATATTTTGAATCCCTGTCTTCCGGATATAGGCAATTTTGCGACAACTTTTCGAAGACTCGCTTCTTTATCTTTAACAACTTCTTCTATCTTTATAAAGTCTTCAGAGCATGAGATAAATGGCTTCTTAGTATAAAGCTGTTTCAATACTCCCATTTTCGTACCCTAAAGCTCGTCGTCTTTTTACATTTTGGCCAACTTTCACATTTGGATATTTATTTGCTGATGTTGCTTTCATTTTTTCAGATTGATTTTCCAAATTAAATTTTGCATTGTTTCTTACTGCCAGGATAGACTCTTTCTTTTCATGCACCGAACACGTCTGCAAGTGTTTATTTTTCGACGTTTACCGTGTCTCTGATGGTAAAAGTAAATGAACCATGATTACAGAACATTTTGGACTTTTATTGTTCAGTTGGTAAACGTTAAGCTTTACTGGAAAATCTTAGAATTACCGTAGTATTCCCGCATAGGTGGAATAATTCAGCTAGGGGTTGAAATTCGGATCTCGGAAGAACGTAGCAACATGATAAATAATTAGCAAGAAAGTATCCCCTTATATTTATTTGGATACCTCTTTTGGCTTTGGAGTCACTGCGATTGCCATGCTAACTTTAATCTGAAGTCAGCGCAGCCATGGTTTCTCGGAATCGAGTGCAGCAATTTGGCAAAAAAATGCGAATAATTAGCAACAAAATAGGTATAGAAAAATTTTGTAGTGGCGCTTTAATTTTGCTACACCAGCTTCAGAGACGTATAAATAGACATACGAATGTGACATTAAAACTGTGCTTTTCTTGTTCTCCATTATTTCAATGAAAACCTCGTTTGAAACAAAAAAATGCAGACAGTATCCAGAGTGAGTCATTTATCTTAAGGCAATGATATATCATAGCTAGATCCTCGTAATTTTTGAAAAAGCTTTAGACAAATTATATGTTTCCGAAGAGGAAATCGTCTGGCGACCTTAGATGTATAATGAAAAAAGCGGGAAATTTTGCAATTGGACGTACCCTTGAAATTAGAGATTGTTGTTAATTTCTCATCAATACCTACTGAAAAATTAAGAACAAATTAACTTCAAGGATACCTATTTCCGATTACAAAATTTTGCATGCTTTTCATTGCTGGAGGAAAAATGATCTTCAACGGCAAGGTGGAGGTCACACTCAAAATCATCTTTGATTGTCCCTTTGAATGGTTATAACTTTTGCCTAAAACTTTTTTAAAAATAAGGAGATTCAATTAAGATTTTTTTGCTATTTGATTGTTCTTAATTCCTCAATATTACGATTTGAAAAATTAAGAAAAAATCTACTTCAACGCTACTTCCGATTACAAACATTTCCGCTCTTTCGATTTCATGGTTTAAACATATGTATTGACGTACGAATGACGTCGAAATGATCCTTCAAGATCTTGACAGTCAAAGTCACAGTCAAAGCCACTAGCTAATTTCCCCATAAAAAGCGACGTTTGTCTAAAACATTTCTCAAAAAACTGAGATCCAATAGAAAATAAATTACTCACTGTGTATAAAAGTAACTTTAGTTCATGCAAGTCCTACGTTCAAACCAATTAAATACTTGAAGAGACAGTTTAAACTCTAGATTTGTGGCTGAACGTTAATACGGTAAGTTTATTACTTATTTTCTGGAAGTTTGCAGAACACATAATCAATAAGCCCACGCAGCCACTGGTCGTGGTTAAGTGAACTACACATGTAGAATATAAAACTTTACTACTTACCAACAACAGCTTATGAATGTGCTATAAAGTACACAAGAACGACTCAGCGACATCAACCAAATACATTACAATCGAAGGTTATAAATCCAGATGACCATTCGCATAACCAAGACCTTTAAATTTTATACACTGGACCTGCAAAAAAAAAAACAACTGTATGATTTCTACTCATTAAAAAAAAATATTTTTGATATAATTGAAATTTGCCACCTAAAGTTTTCTTAATCCGAGGAAATTCCGGTTGGTACGGCCCTGGCTGCATCCCCTCGTCAGCTGTTCTCGCCTAATATGCATTGATAACGTTATTGTTTAGTTAGATCTATGACAGACTCGAGTTTCTTTAATGTCCCTGCCGATATGTTGGAATAATTACAATATTCAGCATTAAAAAATGCGAAAACACCTTCCGAGCTCAACATAGCTGCATAATATGGTTCAGCATAATCCCCTGAATAACATAATCCGATTCCAAGGTCACCAGGGAAGTGTACAAAGTAACAAATAATTACCTTCGAATGTTTAAACGAGAGGACGGTAGGGCTACCAATTGTGACATACAAATAGGTAGTCGGACAAATAAATTTATAAAAATTAGGTATACAGTAAAAGCTTCTTAGGCAAGAGTTTAAAAAAATTAGTGATTTTTTCTTGTTTTGAATTTTCAAATTAGTCCACTCGGTTACATCTTTTATAAAAGCCGCTTCGGCACGTACCAACAGTACATAGTCAAAAGATGCCGATACATTAAGGGGATTCAGTAGTACACGCGCCGTAAAGTAAAAACATGCTTATCGGTTCTAGATATCATGAGTTTAATGTTTGGAACAGAGGGTTGAAATATTGTGGTAAGAGAGATAAAGCTTTGTTTTAAAGCCTGTCGAAGGCAATTTTTTAATTTCTTAATTTCTATTGAAAATACATGTCCTATAAGAAGCATCAACATTAAGCAATTGTAAAAGCTACTAATGACCGTTTTATTGAAAACTAAAAACGTGCCGAGTTAGTGTGAACCTTTGTTTGTTACCATACAAAAAATCAGATATTTATCTCGCAGCGTTAAATCACAATGTTTAGAATTGAAACCCATATTTTCGGAAAAGTTCACAGTAGGCACGAGCGGTGTATTGCGATCAGTCCCCTTAATAAATGACACCGAATCCTTTTCTGTTTACCGATTGCACCCGCGAATAATGACATTTTTAGCCGCGAATACAGGAACTGGGTTGCAATTTTTTCACCCGCGAATAATGAAAACGCTAATAAGAAAACCGTGAATCAGGAAAAATTCGCTATTGAAAAGTTTTTAATTTCTTCCAAAATATGTATCGTTTTATGTTGCAGTTATTTCACCGCACACTAAGTTCCCTCAAAATGAACTACCTTTAGCTAATGGTATCGCAAAATGTCCCGGCATCAAAAATCAACCGACTTCTCCCCTAACACCGCCTGTCCGCCCCCTAAGCAATGGAAATATATCGGAAAAGTTAATGGACCCGTCTACGATAGCACCAACTCGAAGGTTCAACAACGACCACACCGTATTTTCAACAGCGGTTATCGACTGGGGTCACACTTGGGGTCAAGGATGGGGTTGGAGTCAAGCCGTCTGTGCCACACAAGCCGCTTGTGCCCATGATTGTGCGGTCACATCCACGGTCTACTATCACGCAGACGATTATACTTTAGGTAAATGTCTAATTAAGATTATTATTAATACGAGTGATGCGTGTTTACAATTCTCCCTCAGACAGCCGACGAAGGTTTAATGTCACAAAATTAGCTTTTCGTTAAATACAATGAAGGTAAATATTTAGGGTAATTGCCCAGAATTGGGGCTCCAGGCCAAAATCGCTCCAAAAATATTTTCATCGATTTCCAGTTATCCTACATAATTTATTAGATAGATATTAGAAGATGGGGGAGACAGTTTTTTATGACTTTATAAATAAATAAAGAAAAATTTTTGAGTATTTTTTTTTTAAAATTGCCCCAATTCTGGATAATTACCTTCATTGATTTTTTGATTTGTTTAGGTAGATATATGACAGATTGGAATTTATTAAATGCCTCTGTCCAGTTGATATGTTAGAGTATTTTATTCACAGAAAGCATTTTTTTTATACATTTCCTAGTAGGTACAGGATTCCTAGAATTGGGGCTCCAGTTCAAAATCGCTCCAAAAATTTTTCATCGATTTCTGGTCATTTCTGAGGGTTCAATAATTATATTTGAGGGGGGGAGACAATTTTTTTTTTTATAACAGCATACATCATAGGGTATATGGTGTATGTACAGCTATTTCTTCTTTTAATATTGATAAAATAATTTTATGCAGTGCTAATCGTGAGATAAGAAGATTAAAAGCTTGTATAATTTTTAACATCACCCCCCCCTTCTGCCCCTAATCTCGTCAGCCATCGCTTCCCGTACCTACAGTTAGAACTGTGATTTGAATTTTGAAAAATTATCATTAAAAAATTTTTTTTATTTATGAACTCATAAAAAACTGTCTCCCCTACTTTCTAATATCTAATTCTATTATGTAGAATTACCGAAAATCGATGAAAAAAATTTTGAACCGATTTTGGTGTAGAGTTATGACTTATAAATAATTTATCGCATTAATATATACAATCATGAAATTCCAACTTTGTCTGAGAAAATCCTGTTGAAAGTCACTTTTAACAAATTGAGAAATTAGTTACAATCCCCCCCCCCCATATTGTTTTGTAATAAAAAATACAAGTACGTGGAGAGGGTAGTTCAGGACATCAGAATATACTACCCTTTCTCGTCCAATACCTTGCCACGCAATCATAGCATGGGCGCGCAAATGTTAGCTGAATAGACCCATGGAGTTATACCCTAAAAGAGATATCAAATTAAATATCATGATTCATGTTGCTCTCTATCGGAAAAGTCAATCATGCCCCTTAAAACATGACGAAAAGGGTGGTAATTGGGACGCGTTCTTGCAGTCTCATCTTTAGCGGTTTATATAATACACCCATGTACTTTTGCGTTAAATGAGATATCAATTTAAAAGTATGCATGAGCTTTTCCGGAATAGTTAATCCTGCCTTTGTCAGAACTACTCAACCAATTATCATGAAATTTTGTACACACATTGTTAGGGGTATAAAAAAGGACAAAGGGTACCTTTTATACAAAAAAAATACTGTTCCCGAGGGATAACAAAATTAGTTTTGTGTTCGTCGATAACCTTTGACATGTTTTTAGGACATCAAAGCCGCGGGTAAAACCTAGTAGAAGCATATAAAAATGTTGCTTATGTTTATCTTACTAAGAATGTACTTAGTTTTATTTCAATAAAATTAGGCCGTTATTTCTTTTTTAGGTGGCTATGAAGAGATGGATTGGAGCGCTTTCGGTGACTTTTGTTTTTAAACTTCGCCATGAAACAGTTGGGGCCATTTTTCTACAGCAACAAAGAAAAAAACATTACAAGTTATCATGCTGGACATTATGCTACGGTGCGGTTTGTTTCTAAAGACTGAAACTATGCAACACAGGGTTCGTAGAAATAAATAAAATTTAGACGGCCAAGTTGACATCATTAACGCATTACGAAAAAAATAACAAAACAAACTTCAAATAGGATCTTCATTTAAGTCAGATACCAAAATAGTCACATTTTGAATATGAAAACAGTTAATTTTCTAATAATCTGTATCTAAGAAATATATTTAATATTATATAAACGAAAAGGCGGCAATACCGTACAAATAACGTAAACTAAATAAATAACATAATTATTATACTTCGTTTACTTTCTGTAGCGATGTGACCTTCAGTCTGACCGGCGCAAAGTAGAAAAGAACAGCACTAGGCCAGAAAAGGAAGGAGACAACTCTCGGCCAAACTCTTAACCGGTGAGGAGCGTATAATCCGTACAGTACTGCACGGAAAAATTGACCATTTTATCCACTACAATTGCATTGCTCAAATGTGCTGTTATTGGTACCATTTACTACTGAAAATATCAACGAGATGTTTATTTATATTTGAAGACATATTAAAGGCTTTAACGCTTGTTTTCGACTCGCACTACTATTCATGATTGAACAAAACTTTTGGCAGGTACTGTATGAAAAAGTATGTTTAATGAACAAGAGTTGAGAGTATAATGAGCTCTTTTCTCCCTACCTACGACTTTGCCAGCGCGCATCCAAAACTTTGGAAAGGGAACATCGCTAGAGAAAGTAAATGAAGTATACAACTATTGATAATACGGTACAATTTAATAAACATTAAAAGCAAAAATCAATTGACAACCGAATTAGCTTTCTTTTCGTACTAAAATTTTACTGCCAACGCGCAAAATCGAGTATAATTTCAGAAAGGAAATTAGATTCCAGAAATTAAAAAGCACTGAGCCTCATAAATTTTATTTTTGTCGCAAGGCAAGCAAATATTTACTTATTTTTGAAAGGAACTTCCAAACGAAAAATCTCCCCGATTTTTAGTCCGGCCGAAATGTCATTTACGGTGAAATGACAATAATTTTATACTAATCAATAGTCAAAACGTTTTCAAGCGACAAAAGTGGGTAGCAAAAGCTTTTAATGGAGTTAAATTTAAATAATCTTGTTTTTAAAAAGGAATATTTAAGACGTAATCTTATGGGGACTCATATGTCATCATTTCTATTAAATGAATTTCGCGGTAAACTCAGTCTCTAACTGAGGATGACACCTTGGATGTCAAAAGTTGTTTTAGTTTTAAAAACGTTTTGCGGATTTCCGGGGTTTTTGAGCGTTTATTTAGTCAGGTTCTACAGTATTCCAATTGACTTTCTTGAATTAATTGTAGTTAATTAAATTAAAGTACCTTTCCAGTATAAAACAAAACTTTTATACATATAAACTAT